TGGGAATATAGTTTGGTGCAGCCATTATGGGAAACAGTATGGATATACCTCAAAAAACTAAAAATAGACTTACCATATGATCCAGCAATCCCATTTCTGGGTATATATTCTATATTCTAATTCAAAAAGATACCTGCATCCCAATGTTCTTAGCAGCACTATATACAATGGCCAAGACATGGAAGCAACCTAAATGTCCATCAACAGATGACTGGATAAAGAAGTTGTAGTATATTTATACAATGGAATACTACTCAGCCATAAAAAGACTAAAATAATGCCATCTGAAGCAACATGGATGGACATGGAGAATGTCATTCTAAGTGAAGTAAGCCAGAAAGAGAAAGAAAAATAGCATATGATACCACTCATATGTGCAATCTGAAAGAAAAAGAAAGGACACTATGAAATCATCTTCAAAACAGAAACAGACTCGCAGACATAGTAAACAATCTTATGGTTACCAGGGAAAGCAGGTGGGAAGGAATAAATTTGGGAGTTTGAGATTTACAACTGTTAGCCACTATAAATAAAAATAGATTTTTAAAAGTTTCTTCTATGGGAACTATGTTCAATATCTTATAATAACCTTTAATGAAAAAGAATATGAAAACGAATATATGTATGTATATGCATGACTGGGACATTGTGCTGTACACCAGAAATCGACACATTGTAACTGACTGTACTTCAATTAAAAAAAAAAAGTGGCAAATACCAAAAAAAAAGTTTTCTACTGGATCAGCCCATAGACCACCTTGTGAGGCCACTGTGAGCCATTTGTTTCTGTTCCCTTTGATCCTGTGTTCACCACCTTTTGCTTCCCTCCCAAAAAGAAAAATAAAGACAACCCCACAAGCCTGCTATGAGACTGAAAGCAGAGTCAGCAGGCAAGGAAGGCAGGGTGTATCTGGCACTGGCGGGAAAGCGGGCAGATCAGAACTGAGATCTCATCAGCAGTCAGAGAACAGCAATAATGCTATGAAAAATGTATGAGTGCATGTGTGTGCCAAACACCAAATCCTTGTAACTCTATAAGCAAGATAGTATAAACTTTATTCTACAGATGAAGAAAAAGAGGCACAGAGGAGCATCTTCCCTAAGGAGACCAAAACAGAGAAATGATGGAGTTGGAATTCAGCCCTGCCTGGCAGTTCAGGGCCTGCAGTCTTGGCCACTAGGCTGTGCAGCTTCAGTACAAATTAAAACAAGAATGAAATTTTTGCCCAATCACATTGGTACCTTTTCAAAGGACTGATAGATCAGGTGTGGAAGAGCATTTCAGGACATAGGTGCAAACGTACTTTTTGGTAGAAGAGTAAATTGCTGAAGGCAGTTTGGTCAGTGTTACCGAAACTTACATCTAACTTGTGACCTGGCCTTTTTACTTCCAGGAACTCATCCTAAAGAAATACAGAGGTGTCTGCATACAGATATTCAATGCAGCACTCCTTTAATAGGAGCAAAAGAGAGAGAGAGAGAGAGAGAGAGAGAGAGAGAAACAATTTCAGGAGCCACAGGTAGGAAAATGACTACATTCATCACAGTACATCCAAAATATTAAATAGTCTGCAGCCTTTAAAAATGGAGGTCAATCCAGAGATGCAGGCATGGAAAGAATTCTAAAATGTGGTTAAAGGGAAAACAGTGATCGCAGAGCACTGTGTACAGCATGGACCTATTTATGTAAAAAATAAGGTGTGAACATCACATCATTCCTTCTTAGAAGGGGAGTGATGCCATCGCTTCCCTTCTCTCTCTCCTTCCCTCAAAAACAAAAACAAAAAAGCAAAACCCACGCAGTCAGAAATGAGTCATAAAAAGGCGACATGTTATTTATAAATCAGTCATACAATAAAATAATTATTTTAAAAGGTCACAAATGCAACAGTTGTATAAAGTCAACCTGGAGTCAAGTACCTCTTCAAATACATTGCAAATCACCTCTATTTTAGTGTTCCTTTCCAAAGCAGATGTGGTTCAAACCCAGTCATGGCTTTGTAATTTCATATTTGATAGCAAGTCAATAAAGCTGACAATAAACAGTCCAACAATAATTTTTTAAAATACTGAGTGGTAAACGCTCTTCTTAGTTGCGAAAGAGTCAATTACTCAGACAGCCTGAAGATTTCACTGAAGTCAGTAAAAAATTATATGAAATTAATTGTTCCATGTTTAAAATCCTCATTGTATTTTCCTTGAAGTGATAATAATGCATACAAAAGGGCTGATAAAGAAATAATAGAAAGTCCCAGTAAGACAAGCTTCATTATAAGCTAAACATAAAAGAGACACACAGCATTCTGCTTGCTTTTCTTTTCAAAAAATACCATGGCCCCTTATCAAGTGGAAGAGCACTACTTAGACCAGTGGTTCCCAAACTTTGGTGTGCACAAGGCTCATTAAAATGCAGGTTCCTGGACCCTGTTCCCAGACTCCGAGCTCACATTCCTGAGTCTGATGAATCTGCATTTTTAAACAAGATCCACAATGATTTTGATGAGGTGGTACAAGAACCCCAGAGACCATTCAAATTCTACTGTCCAGTCCTAACTGGCTACCAGTGGTTGGACACCTGATTCTGGACCTCTCCCTCAGCTCTCTAGTATCCTCATTATAAAGCCAGTCAATTGGACTGATCATCTCTGAGGGCCCTTAAGCCCTAACAAGGCTGTGACTGACCCCACATGTAAAAGAAATGTAGTTTCAGCTAAGAACTTAGTCTTCATGCCAAGACTAGGTTTTGCAAATCACTGAGTTTCTGTCTTTTCCTTCTGAAAAGTCTGCTTCTGTCAGTTTCATTTCTGGGAGCACCTGAGCAGAGGAATTCTGAAACTGACTTCTCTGTTAATTTGGGGCACTTTCCTTATGCAAACAGGGAAGCTCCCAGCAATCCTGAGAGGCGCTGCAAATACATGGTATGTGGTGAGACCTCTGGTTATAGAACACCATTAACATCCCTGTAACGTTGAGCAGGCTCCAAATCCTCCAGCACAACTTCCGTTGGAAGACCTGGAAAACTCAATAGGAGGTTTTAACGCTTGTTGAACTTGAAGAGTAAGAGCTGGATTTCCTAGAGAATTTCTTTGATGTGAGGGATACTTGCATCCGCTTTACGGTACGGACACTCCTGCAAAGAAGGGCATTCTTTGCATGATCCCTGAAGTCTTGTGAAACGAAGTAATAGACAAAAGGGTCAATGCAGCTGTTGAGGGTGGAGAGGCAGAGGGCAACGATGTACAGGGCGTAGACGTGGCTCTGGCCCCAGTTTTTAATCAGGAAGTAGTGCACCACGAGCAGAAGGTTGCTGGGAGTGAAGCAGATGAGGTACATGGCCAGGACAGTGATGATGAGCTTGATAGCCCTCTGCCTCTTCTTTCCCGAGTTTTCGTCCATGGTGGAAGACCGGAGTGTCCTGATCATCAGCACGTAAGCAGAGGCTGTGAGGAAGGCGGGGAACAGAAAGACTCCAATGGCCAAAGAGAGGAAGTAATTGAACATGTCCCCCACCAACACCTCCTCAGGCAGAACATCATGACAGGTGGTGATGTTAAGGGCGGGGATGTTGATGGTCTGCTTCACCACGTACAAGGGGATGGTCACCAGCAGGATCAGGAGCCATATTCCCAGAGAGACACCAATGGCAATGTTTGCCTTCTTCCTGGGGTGCACCATGGGGTTCACGATGACCCAGTACCTCTGTACGCTGAGGCAGGTCATGAAGAGGATGGAACAGTACATGTTGCCATAGAAAAAGCCAATGAGGACCTTGCAAAGAGATTCCCCATAAATCCAGTTGTTGCCATGTATGTGGTAGGCGATCTTCAGAGGGAACCAGATAATAGAGAGGAGGTCTGCCAAGGCCAGATTGGCCATGTAAATCACAGCGGGGTGCTTCTTCTTTGTTCGGAAAAGAAAGACCCACAGGGCCATGCCATTACTCGGCAAACCGACCACAAATACGATCGTGTAGACAATGGGGAGAAAGACAGTGGTCAGTTTGCCAGTGAGGACGGAGGTAGAAAACTCATCCACGGAGAAGCCGGGTAACACTGTCACTCCTTTCCCTGTGATGTGAGGTGGGCTATCAGCCTTACCAATGAGACTTCTTCCTTTAGAGGGTCTACTGTTTCCTGTACGAGAAAGGCAAGGCAGATAAGGGTCATTACAGAAATCAGAGTTTCAGCAGGAATGCTGGTTTGTGCAAATAAAAGTATGTTATTTTCTTCTTCTTTTTTTTTTCTTTACAACCAGTATTTTTTTTTAATTGGAGGGCTGTCAAATATATCTGGAATATAACATTGATTTCTATGCATCTCGAAAAAACTGACAGTATTTCCACTTCTTTTTACAAGCTGTCCACACTCATGAGTTCTTAACTGTTCTTCTAAAGGCCATCTATGTTTCTCTGACCGCAAGACAGGATCTATTCCTGAGCCCAAAGTCCAACCAGTGAGATTCCCAGGGGAACAAGAGATAATTCCTCTCCAGCCACAAGGACAGCCTCCGTGGGCAGGGATGCGCCGCTCCTGTGTGGGCTCCATGGAAACCTCCCCACGACGGCCAGCTGGCAGGCCAGCCTTCAGCCTCCAGGTCACTAACAGTGGGTACACTATCTGTGTTCAGACAAAGTTGTATTCTGACTTTCAAGCAAGTACCAGGTAAGCTTTAACAACTTCTACTCTCATCCCTGTATCATGAATGCAACTTTACAGACCACAAAAGCGTGGCATAGCCCCCTCCTGCCCCAGCCAAGTGCTCGTGGACCAGCAGAGGAAAACGGAGGGACAATCTGAGGACACGGCAGGACCTTAGTTTAATCTAGGGGAACAGTAGCCCTTCACCACGGCCTCACAGTATCCAGGGAGGAGGTTAAACCTGCTCACGAGTATATCTGATAATTTGTACACTGAGTTATCATTTTTTCCTCTTCCACCTTTGTACACATATTCAGCAAGATGATTCATTACTATGAAGGCTTCCCTATTAAGAATTAACAGTGAGGGGGAGGGTAATAGCTCAGTGGTAGAGCATGTACTTAGCATCCATGAGGTCCTGGGTTCACTCCCCTGTATCGCCATTAAAAAAAAAATTAACAGTGGTTACTGTGGGTAGAGGATGACAGGGTGTGCAGATCAATACTTCACTTTTCATGTAGTGGAATGGGTAGCCCCCCAAATCCAACCCCCTAGAATCTGTGATCATTGACCTTATTTAGAAAAAAGGTTTTTCTAGATGTTATAAGGATCTTGAGATGAAGTGATCACCTGGATTATCCAGGGGGCCCTAAATCCAGTGACAAGTGTCTTTATAAGAGAAAGGTAGAGGGAGATTTAAGAGAGAAGGAAAAGACAGAAAGGAGAAAGCAATGTGAAAACGGAGGCAGAGACTGGAGTAACACCAAGGAAAAAGCCAAGGACTGCCAAGAAATGCCAACAGCCACCAGAAGCTGGAGGAGGCAAGGGACGGATTCTCCCCCAGAGCCTTCAGATGTGCCCGCACCTTGATTTCAGACATCTGACCTCCAGAACCGTGAGAGAATAAACTCCTACTGTCTGAAAACAGCAGCTTGTGGCCACTTGTTCTGGCAGCCCCACGAGTTAAAACACTTAGGACAGACCTATCTCGTCCCAGTTTCTTTTATAATTGTTTTACAAGAGCATACATTATTTTAAATTTAAAAAATAAAATAACATTCCCACATATGACCGTGTTCGTCAAAACTTGGCTATAACGCACGGTAAGAAATATATTCTGTATGGTAACCCAGTTTCAGTACATATAACCATAACGGGAAAAGTTTCACAAAATTGTAATTACCCTTATTATGCAGGGTACACGTTAATACTTTCCATTGTCTTCCACTTCATTCTACAAAAAGCCAGTCAACACCTTCTACATTGACTTCATGACCCACTTAACATGTTTTTCAAAGCCACTTAGCAGAGTGACCTATTTTGATCACCCCAAGGGAACAGTAACAACATATCTATAGACATGAAATATCTGTGGAACTCGCTCTGGAAACCAAAATAGCAAAGGCCCCTGCATGAGAGTATAGGATTCTTTAATTCTAGGGCTGTCATAATTCCTTTAGCGTCCCCACAGCCCCTGGCCTCGCCCTGGACCCACACCAGGTGTTCAGCACAACTGGGGTGGACGGAAAAGCTCAGTGAGCCACACTACAGAGGGACGTGAGGGAGAATCACTATGCCCCGCGCTCCTGATCCTTTCTTTAGAGCTCCAGCCTGGCCCAGTTAGTGCCCAAACCACACACAGACAGCAGCAGGGGACTGCAGGAGGACCGCTCTACAAATTAAAACCACCTTAATACACAAGCACCAACGCTCAATAAGGGCTCATCTCGTGTGTCCTGCATTGCTTTCAACACTGCATGTATTAACTTACTTTGCCTTCACAGCAACCTGATGAGCAGGCACTATTATTAAGAGCCTCATTTTCTAGATGCACAAAACGAAGCACAAAAAAGTTGAGTAACTTTCCCAATGTTGAAGAGTTGCTACGTAGGAGAGTCAGGATTCACGCCCAGGCAGCCCATTTCCAGAATCCCCAGTTCTAACCTCTGTATCCCACTGCCCATCTCTGCGGCCCTGACCTGAGGTTACACGCTAGAGTCCACTGAGACTGACCTAACCTGTGTGGTGGATTCCACACATTTGTTCTCAAATGGAAATTTTTTTTAATTGAAGTACAGTCAGTCACAATGTGTCAATTTCCAGTGCACAGCACAATGTCCCAGCCATACATAGACATACTTATGTTCGTCAAACAGAAAATGTTAAATGTCCAATTTTACCATTTAAAAACTCCCCTCTTGGAATCAGCCCCGCCTCCAATAACTTATACATTTATTTGTATTAATAGTAACACATTCTGGAAAGCTTTCAGAGGTGTGAGAGAATCCTATAAATTCTCCATTGGTCCGAAAAGCGTTCACCAGCTCTCCAGAGAGACTGGACACTGGACCCGTGTTCTGGGGACTCATCCATTCAAAGAGCTAGGACATCTGCCCCAGAAATAGCCTACCAGAGATTAAGGCAATGAATTAGGCTGCATTTCGGCAGAATGGAGGCACCAAGATTTTCTAATTTCTAATTAAAGCTTTTTCCCTTAGTACCAAAAAAAAAAAGTTACATAACTTGCTCTATGAAAGAGAAGAAAATCTAAGCATTCATTGTCCATAGTGACTCACATCACAAAAATGATAACCAGAGGGGTGGGTATAGCTCAGTGGTAGAGGGCATGCTCAGCATACACGAGGTCCTGGGTTAGATGCCCAATACCTCCATTAAAAAAAAATATATAGATAACCAGACATTATTTGCCTCCTAGGACAAGAAGCACCTGTGAAGTTACCTTGCAAAAAACAAACTCGAATCTCAACAAGCTTCTCAATCCAACTGTCAAATTGATTGAAATAAAGGGGACAATAGGACATGTTAAATAACACAAGAATGTAGTCAGCAAAATCCAGGCTGTAGAAATTGCTGCAAGACAAGGACCTCATTTCTTCAAGATATAAATTACAAGGCAAAGAATAAAATAATAAAGAGCTGTGGAAGTGGGACTCGCAGATTAAAAGATTCAAAAGATGATATCATTATTTTTAAATTCTTTTGATGTTGATAGTCTTGTAAAGCTCATGTTTTTCCCTTTCTAGGGCTAGATGAGATTTACTTGTCTGTTGTATGAAAAACTGATGATCAGGAAAAGCTCTTCATTTTGTGGACATGGAAAAAAACAAATACTAAGATGGATTATATTTTTAATTCTATAAAGAGATTTCTGAACCAATATCAAATCTAGATTAATGTATCCATAAGATTCAAGCCATTTCTATTTAATCATTTCACTACCCTAGTGTCATAACCTGTTAACCAGTGTATTATTTCCTAGCTCTGAAACTAGTTTTTTGATTATCCAGCCTTGAAATTAAATAATTTTGAATAATAATAAAAAAGACAGTATCAAACTTAATATGTGGACCCTATTTGGACGCTGATTCAAGTAAACTATTAGAATACAATTGATGACATTTATGAGACAATTAGAAATTTGAACACTATTTGATTGTTTTACACAATTTTTGTCAGTGGTTATTATGTGGTTGTGTTTGAAAAAGAAATGACCAACTTTTATGAATACATCCTGAAATATTTTAAGATGAAATTATATCTGGATTTATTTCAAGATTGGACCCCTCCGACACTGTTGGGGGGATGTAAAGTGGTACAGTCACTGTGGGGCACAATCTGGAAGTTCCTTAGATGGCTCACCATAGAGTGGCCATATGACTCAGCAATTCCTACTCCTAAGTACATACTCAGAAGAAAGGGAAACATGTGCCCACAGTACCTGTACAGGAATGTTCATAGCAGCATTATCCATAACAGCCCCAAAGTAGAAATAACTCAAATGTCTACCAACTGATGCATGGATAAATAAAATGTGGTTTAGGCATACAATTGAACATTATTTAGCAATAAAAGGAAATGAAGTACTGACACATGCAGCAACATGGATGAACCTTGAAAAGATTATGCTTTTGAAAGAAGCCAGTCACAAAGGAATATGTACTGTATGATTCCATTTATAACAAATGTCCTGAATAGGCAGATCCATAGACAAAAAGTAGATGAGTGGTTGCCAGGAGCTGGGGAATGGGGCAATTGGGAGGTGACGGCTAAGGGGTGGGGTGTTCTTATGGGGTAATAAAAATATTCTAAAGTTGATTTTGGTGCTGAATAGATAACTGTGAATATTATAAAAATGATTGACTGGTAGACTTTAAATAGGTGAATTGTGTGGTATGCAAATTATATGTAAATAAAGCAGTTAAAAATGAACACAGGACAAAGAGCAGGAAGTAGGCTAGGGCACAACTATTAAAGCTGAGTGGGGGGTTTGAGGGAGTCCTTATAATAGTCTGCTCTCTTAGGTCTAAAGTTTTCCATAAAAACAAACACATACCAGCTCAGGAAGGTTCATGTAGACAGGCATCCAAATCTGTTTTAGGTAACAATACTATACTAAAGAGAGGAGAAGAGCCAGACATACTAAAAAAAGAAAGATGGGCAAGGATTCAAAGAGAGAAAGAAAAACTTCCTGAAAATATTCCAACACCCAACCTTGAATGGGCTCAATCTAAAATACCATTCATAGCAGCTGTGTTCACTGTACCAGTCCCAGAGCGCACAACCAGCCCGCTGCTTGTTATAACACTGGTAAATGTCGAGATGCTGCCCAAATGTTCCTGAAGCCCTTTCTGCTCAGTACATAGACTTTTACCTCATCCAGTGTGCTGCACCACTCACCAAAACTCACAGAACTTGTCTGGAACTGATGCTACCCCAGTTCCCAACCCAATAAGCCAGATAAAATCATGTCTAGTTTAGAGTGAAGAAATTAAATGTACATATGAAATTTAAGCACATATAAAGTATCTGGCTACAAAAGCACCCCCATTTGGGGGCTATAATCAGCAATACTTGCCCAAGTATGCAAGAATACAAACCCACAGATGCTCAAGGCAGCAGCCCCCACCCCAATTACAAACAGGAAATGAGCAATGTTCCTCAGCCCCCATTCCTAACTTAGCATATCCCCAGCACAGTCTCTAGCATTAGTAGTAGACACTACATTATCCAATAAATATTGAAATGGAAAGACAGCCACAATATACTGCCACTTGAAAAAAGCAACTGGCAGAATAATATGCTTCCATCACTAATAATAAAATTATAATTTGTTTGCAAATCTGAGGTCTAGAAAAATACCCACTAAACTATAAACACCTCTGGAAAGGGGAGAACTTACTTTTTTTGCCATACGTCTCTATATTGTTCTGATTGCATTTTCAAAGAACTGTAAATTGGTACAATCTATTTGGAGAGCATTTTGGCAAAACATCAAAATTTTAAGTGTGCTTGCCCTATGGTCCATCATTTTATTGCTAGGAATAAATATTGCTAGCACAAAAATACTGTATTACGAGAATATTTACTAGAATATTATTTATCATCCTAAAACAAAAATGCTAGTCTCAATGTCCACCAAAAAACAAAAAAGGCTTGTTTGATAACTTATGGCATTTATACAACGAGTAATATTTTCCCTATGAAAGTATGGACCGATTTTTCCATACTGACCATGAATAGATCTACCAGGTTAAAAAAAATTGCAGGACAGAATTTATAGTATTAGCCTTTTATTGTTATGAAATATATGTATTTGTGCACAGAGACGTCTGTTGAGAGAGAAGAGAACAGGGGCTGTTAAGTTTTTTAACCCTTCTGATTTGTACAATTTTCGGGTTAAAAAAATGGAAGTAAAATTTTAAACTTTAAAAACACTACTTGTTCTTTGTTATATTAAGCATCGTTCTGGGGCCCACCCTCCCTACCAAACCAAGTCCAGAGCAGCTACTGTATCTGAGTTAACTCTCCTCTTGTGCCCTTTATCCCCTCACCCCAGATTTCTTCTGCTCTTGACCTTTGGGAGCACAGATTGAAAAATAAAAAGCTCCAATTGCCGGCATCCCTCCCTAGGTACACTTTAGGCCATTTTCATGTGTTCTCTGAGGAGGAACTGTTTCCCTATCAACACCTGCCCACCTAATAAAACCCTATGAAAGTCAAACACAGACTCCACTAAAGAATCACCCATCAAGGTTAATTAGTAACTACGGGGCCAGCAAGGGCACCAAACACAAATTTAAAGTCCCATCTTCAGGTTCATTACAGTGTTCTCTCTTATTACAAAACACTGGAAATATCCCACGTGTCCATCAGCAGAGGGCCAATTAAACATTACATCATCTGCTAACATTTTAGAGGCATTAAAAATGTTTTATATTTACGGACATGCTACTGATGTTTATATAAACACATACTTGTACAAAACATTTCTGTATTTGTGAATACATCTTTATGCATTCTGCCTGAAAGCATGGGAAAGACTAGAAACCAAAATGTTAGCAGTACTTTGGATACTGAGGGCGTTTTAATTAACATCACCCCCTTTTTTCGGGTTCATTTTTCCCCTCCAGTGATCACATGTGACTTGTATAACTAAAAACCAATTACAAAGAGAACATGAGTTTCTGTCTCCAGGAGGAAAACGGGAATGACGAGATTATCAGGACTTACCAGGTCTGTGACAAAAGTGGGAAGAAAGAAATGCCTGAGAGAAGCCAACTTAAATGCCCAACTGCCATCACCAGGTCACTCTGGGCAACTTACTTCGCTTCGTTCTTCACTATTTATTGAGGTCCTTTAGGGAATGAGACTATGCTGGACCGTGGCAACGGAGGTACCACTAGGGTCCCTGGCCTCCTGGAGTATATGATCCAGAGGGGCAAAGATTAAACATATTTACACAAATAACTATCAATGACTGTTATGACAGGAAAGAAAGCAGGGGCCTGGCGGACTGTTTTCCTTGCTGCTCCCCCCAGTTCAGTGGCCCCCATCTGTAAAATGAGAAGGATGTGCTCTAGGCTGAGTTCCCTTCCATAAGGCAGTCTTATGTGGGTGAGACCTTTGGGAAGAAAAATCAAACCAACTATCTGTCCTGCAGCCAACTGAGGAGCACACAAGAGGGTCAAAATCAAGGAGGTGAACAGACAGCACTCAGGGGCAGAAGCACTGGTGATGCCTTACTTCTTGTTCAAAATCAATTTAGTTTCAAGCTAGGAGGAAAGCTCCATCCGCCTCAAGTCTCTGTTACTTAGCTGACCCTTTAGGAAAGTTACCCTGCCAAAGAATAAAAGTATGTGGAGGAGAAAAACAAACAACAACAACGAAAAAAACAAAGTGCAACATTAAATAGTTCTGGTTAACAAGTAACTTCATTTTGTTGTTAAATTAGGTCCACATTATACTCCGGGAATCCCCCCAGCCCCTCACTTTGTAAACAAGAACAAGCCAAACACTCAGGCAAGCTTCCTGTAGGAACCATATGAATCATCAACATCCACATATTTTTTTTAAAAATGTTTGCGCATACTAAGCTTTGTTCCTAAATCTTAAGTTTATGACTTTAAAAGACAAAGATAAACGGACATGTGTTCATCACAGTTTCAGTACTTCGTGGAAATAAATAAATGCCTTTATTCTGATGCTGACAATAAAAAGTGTACCAGTGGTGCAGTTTTCAAGCATCCACTATAATACCCTTTTTCTGTAACTCCGGAAGGAAAAGAATCACATTCTACAATCTAATTCAAATCCACAATGATCTGCTTTTTTACAATGTATTTATGAAGAGGATAAAAGTGAGAAACTGCCTTTTACAACAGGTCTGCAAATTTCGCAGGGAAGTTCAAAACTCCCTTTTAAGGCAACCCTGGCTACCACAAACAGTGGGGCGTCCGTTAGCATCACAGTTGGGCGATACCAGGCCAGACAGCGCCCACGCCCTCAGAAGCCTGCTCAGCCCGGGAAATTCCACCCCCAGCCGGACAAGTTAGAGCACACCGGCGCAGAACACCTAGGGCAGCACACCCGGCGCATCCGGCCGTGGCGCACAAGGTGGCACCGAAGTATCGGGAAACCCAGGGCCGTAAAGTCACTTGGTCGAATGTAAGGCAGGGTCCAAGAGGTTTCATTCGTTAATCTCCTCAATTGGCCTAAGACTCAGGATGAGCACTAGTCATCTCGAGAAACAAGCAGAGTCCAGCTCTGACTTCCATGCTCGAGCTATCCACTGTGCCAGAGGAGCTGTGGGCCGACCCCAAAGAGCTGGCTCCGAAAAGCGAGGGAGAAAGTTCCCTGGCCCCGAGCTCCCACCTACTCCACGTCTCTGAGCCGTCAACTCGCTTCCTCCGCGGGTCCCGCAGCACCAGCCCGGAGTCTCAAGAGTACGCGAAATGCACCTTAATGACTTGTGTTTGCAAAGAAAACCCTGGGGGCGGAGAGGCTAAGCCCTCTGGGTAGTCTGTAGATACGAGCACTCCTTCCCCTTCCTTTCCCCTCCGCAGACTACAGCCTTTCCCGGTTGTCCCAGCTGGCTGCTCCCCTGGCGCAGGGATTCCCCTGTCAAATCAGCCGAGAGGAAGCTGTGGGATACGGGGAAGTGGTGGGGGGCGCTGCAGAGCACCTTTCGCGCACCTGCCCTGCTTCCACCGCCTGCCCACCACCCGCTCCTTAGCGGCACCAGCCCTCCTTGACCAAGCGTCTCACCTAGGACAGTGCGATTGCAGGAGGCAGAGGCCGCCAGCAGGATGGCGCCCCCCAGCAGCCACGCCGCGCTCAAGCTTCGCATCCTTCCAGCAGCCCCGACGCCGGGAGGACGGAGAGTTGGCCGCCACCGATTCGAAACTCAGAGTCCCACTCGCCGATCGGAGAGAAAGCCACCCTCTCACCTGCCCCTAATTGGAGCCTCTGCGCGCGCCTTCCAGGAGCTGGATAAGTTCAGTGAAA